TTTGCGCCCCCTCCCCGACAGAAGAGAAGAACGATGTGACCAAAGATCGCTATTGCGAAAAGGACCATAAGTCTTCTGTAGAACCTCGCAACGTCGACTCATCAGATGTTGTCATCGTCCATGCCTCTGCACCATATAGCAGGACGGGAATAATGAGTCACTTATAGAGTTTGGTTTCAATTGTCTACTCAGTCCCAAGTATGACCTGTTCTGCGTTGGATTTCGAGGCTGACATAGTTATTGGTGTTAATACTGGTGTCAAGATAGACGAAATTATCGACGATTTCATAGTTATGACTGTCAACAGTGACGTGGGATCCCAGTCGCGCGTGGGACGATTGTTTGTTTGATGTTCGCAGTCSAATTATTTTCTCCAGCAGTAGATTGAATAAGTCGCACGATAGGGAGTCGTCTTGTTTGAAACCTCGTTTGGTATCGAACGGCTCTTTTCGGGCTGGCAAAAGCATCTTTAAAATTGATGAAGAGATGGTGTGTGTCGATTCTTTTTGMACGGGTTTTTTCCAAGGTTTGGCGCATGGTGAATAGCTGGTCAGTTCTAGATTTTCCTGGCCTAAAGCCATACTGTTTTGACGGTGGGCTTTAATCTTTCACTATACGCTCGATAGAGCCCTATACGCGATGTTAAGGAGGCTTATCCCATRGTAGTTGGCGCCGATTGTGGATTCGGCAGAGTCCACTTAAATTCTAACCTTTGGGCATGTTTTCGTCCGACCGACGGCCAACACCGACCGACAAAGAAGCTATGCATGATCTTTGTTCGTGTACACTAAACTTACTTACTTACTTACATATATATAGGTATATATATATACTATATATTTGATTCCAAAATTTATTGTCTACAAGAGTTTTCATTCATTAGCTTTTCAAATAAACTTAAGTTTTGAACTTAAAACAATATCATTCAAGACAATTAAAAATTTCTTATGAGCTCGTAATGCTCCTCGAGTTGAGCCAGAGATAATCTTTCATTAAAGATCCATATTTATTKTAAAAGAATAAAATTCCCATGAAATAAACCTGAGCTCCCAAACATGGCTTCCGTTTCGTTCATAGTCCGTTTCCCACCATAGTTTACTGGTGATCTGAACTTCAGGTGGTCCTTTTATAAAATCAACTAATTTGCCGAGAACATATCGTGATTCGTCGCGCTACAATGAGTAACTAATTTTCACGGAAGCTAACGTGGATAAAATCTATTTTTTCCCAAATGCAGTTGTGGTGCAATTCCATTTGTGGCAAGTTCTTCACTCAATCAACAAGGCCACCAACCGACCAGTTACACATGCGCATAAGTAGCGTGACRAACCATTTCTAAAATCAATGAATGAAAATCCTACACATTCTTACGCACACACTTTTGTGTACATACTTACATGCACACAAATGTACATATCATATGTATGTATTCTCACGCCTGCTTGAAAGGTGAATGCAATAATGCTYGCCGGCCATCCATTGATGCGAAGTTGGAGGGCAAAGTCGTGTGTGTAGTGAGCGAACGAGCGATATTGAGTAAACGTAACGGTGTTGGCCTACGCGCCCCGCACCGCAAACAAAACATTAAACAACATTAAATAGAAGCGCAAGCATAACTTTCTTACAACGACAAACTCAATGACCAAAGTCGTCATGACTGCGCTCCACATGGCCCGGTGTCTCAAGTGCCTGAGGAATCTAGTTTATTGTTTGTCTATTTAAATAATGTTGTTATTGTTATTTGTTTCGTTTATTTGAGGTGTGCGTAAATTTACTCGCACATATGTACATACATATATATWAACGTTTAAAAATTACRTGTGTATTAGGGCCATACCTAAAATTTCCAAACTTTTAATAGAAAAAAAGTGATTGAATGTTTTTTATCTTTACTGCAATAAACTTCCTTTAAAGAACTGAAGAACGTAGATATTTTCTCCTTAGTCGGAGAATTTTTTTTAGACTAGAAAAAGCTAAGAATTCATGGAATTGTCTGATTTGRCGAATACTGTCTATGAACTTAGTCTTAGTCGAACTTGTCTTTGAGTAAAGGAAATACTCTCCTCCAATGCACTTTCTGTCGTCGGAGGCTATGATATCCCAAAATTACCTACAATTGTCTAGGATAATATTCTTACTTCTATCATATGAATTGATTAGTACGAATATCGCTACTCAAGAAGTTGCAAAACTAAAAAAAATTCATAGAATGGCAGCTTATCAAAAAAAAAAAAAATTATTTTGAAGAATTCTTTTGGTTAGAAATTTTTGAACATTTGAACTACCGAATAATAAAATAAATACATTTTACAAATTTCTGTACTAGACTCCGATTTAGCGGCGGTAAACGAATGAGCGAAGTCTTTGGTTCGATTTGAATTTTTGCTGATGATCGGTTAAGCTTTCTTCTCTGGTATTGCTTAGAACCATTATTTTGGTAAGATCACTTCAACAATCAATATCAAATTGTATTGTTTATATCATCCCTGCATTTTTGGATCGCCCTCGTACTCTTATATCGAACATRCTCTTGAGTTGATCATGCTTTCATGAGTACTTCTAATGTTAGCTTGCCGTTCGTTAAAACTCAAGCAGCTGCCACAGCACAGTGTCTTTAAAAGATGTTAACCAATTAAAATTTCGACCATGAGAAGAACGTAGGTTATTCTCGTCCTTAATAAAAMAAGAGATTATATTTTGGAACAGCCGTTAAGCCTGAGCCAAAAYAGATAATCCTGAGAACGTATTTTTGTCATTACTCTCTGGCGATTTTCGGCATGGAAAAAAAAGCAACAACGATTTCGTTTGCAATTTTATGTTTCTACTGGAATTGCGTCTAATTAGTCTTTAAAACTRTTGTAGAAGTGTTTTTGCGAGTCTACTTTATCACAAACATAAGAGTGGCACAAAGCTTTCAGTGAAGATTGAAGAAATTGAAAGATTGCATAATGCCTGAAAATACTATTCCTGGACCTATGTAGTAATTCGTTGGTTCTAGACTTATCATATTTGAGCCATATCAGCTTCGTTATCTTGCAATTGGTTAATGATTTCCATCTGCCTAGTGAGTATAAAGATCTCGTTTGATCTTTCTCAGCGGGCATTGTATTAACTCCATTTCGGATTCATCTAAGGATACTCCTAATTTGGTTAACTCGTCCGATTTTTCATTAGCGTTACCTTGCCCATTAACGCAAATTAAAGACAGGTGGAGTTGACTCGTCTTTGGCTTTAAGATTAAAGCCTTTCTGAGATTGCTAACTACCCTGGAATTAATAAGTGGCGTTGACAACTTTCCGCATCCTTACGTAGTTATTCATTAGAGCACCACAGCTCCACTATGTACCAAGTACTTCCGCATGGAAGATGCTGGCTGAGTTTAGTAGTCGAATGGAGAGAGAGATTTCGAGATTGTCGGAGTATCCACCCGCACCTACTTGTCTGTCCATTTTGGACTCGTCGGTATAGGTAAAGACAATAACATCCGCTTCTACCAAATTGCTTCTCCACTTGTACAAATAGGGGGTATCCTCATCCGGAAGTGGCTATTGAAATCTAACCTTTGAAGGTATATAGTCTGATTAACTTATATTTAGGTAGTTCAAAATGGCGCTATGTCCATAATCTTTCCTATTCCAACCTTCTCCTGAAGGCGATAACAAAGATTTCTAATAAAATAATGACGTAATTACGAAAGGAGTGTTAGAATAGTGAAAGTAATGGAAGCAAATATCATTATGAAAAAAAAAAAAAACAAAACATGAGAACCTTACATTTAAGTTATTACTGTAAAATTCTTTCTTCGTAAGAGATTTTTTAGACTTGACTTTAATGGCATCGTAGTTATTTATTTACGTTGTCATTCTAATTAAGTTCAGTTTTCTCTCTTGTTATTTCTAATGAGTGTTGGTGACGGTTTGCTTCTTTCTCTGTTATCATCAGCTGTCATCACAAATTCGAAGACAATAGTGATCCCTATCATTTTTTTTTTATTTCCGGAGTCCTTCTTTCATGATGTATGAATTTATCAGCTTGATGGTCACCGCCATTCCAGCTTGATGGTCAACTATCTTGTTTAGCTTATAGCGAACTCAATCAAAAGTAACACTTGTTGGTAAAAGTATGTCTTTCTGTATTTCAGGATTGGCATAATTTTAAAAGTTAATGTCGAGATGGTCAAAACTTTTAATTATAGCTGACAATTGTTAAATTACTAGACGAGAAAGAAGGGAGAAAAATCGACTAGTCACTTATTTCCTACTATAGGGTGCAGAGGCTTGGATAATGACCACATCTGAGGAGTCGRCTGACGAGTTTTCGAGAAAAAGRTTCTGCGGAAATTGACCTAGCTACACTTGGAATATCCCTGGCCCAAARGCGCGCTGTTGTAAAATCGGCAATAACCGCTTAAGCCGTGTCTACGTCAATTAAGAAGAATCACTAACTGTTACCACTGTATTTGCCATTTTATGGGGGTACCGCTGGAAGCAGAAAACTATACTACACAGCTAAGTTATGGCGTCGTTGTAGTGATTACTAGGCCTATAAACATCTGGTAAAGTGTTAAGATTTCATATGTGCGTATATGTGTTAGCTACCGCCCGCCGCAAAGCGACTAAGACGCCTCCAAATGCTCACTCGTCACATTAGAAAAAAAAAAACAACGAATGACAGCAAATCAAACAAAAAATCAAAGCGAAAACCATTCAATGTGGGCATGTTTATATATATTACGAGTAAATATGCACACACACATACATACAAACATACGTGTGTAGAAATCAACAGTGTCAACAGTTGATGTGCCTACTATTTGTTGTTATTAATTATATTTGTTGTTAGTGCTGTTGGTAATGAGCTTGGTGGTTGCCGCGTCTATTCACTGTTTATGATCATACACCGGAGTACATAGCATTGTTTTTGTGCTCTTGCCACTGCTGCTCTCGAATAAATGCAAATAAAGTAGCGTGACGCTATTTAGTTTGTTCGTGACCGTGGCCGTTGCGTCGCCATTCCACCGGTTCGCCAAATGGTTCGGTGAAGAGCTTTGCTTTGGAAAACGCTTTGGCTGTTCGCTTAGCTATGCTTTGATAGTTGGCCGCCTGTTGAGCACATTTGCCTTTGAGTAGCAGCGGAGTCGAGTCGTGCCACAGCAGCCACCATCGTCGTTTGCCGTCGCTGGCTCTACGAGTCAATAATCGAGTCGAATTGCTGAGTAGTGACGTCGCTATTGAGTGTTTAGTTGGGACGCGAAAAAATCTGAAAGTTTATTGCTTTTAAATTATTATTTACATACACACACTCATACATATTTGTACGCGTATGTTTTGTGAGTTCGCTGTTAACGCATAAACCTTCTTCGGCTTTTATTTTGTGCGTGTCTAGTGTTTGGTGTTGTTTTTTGGGTGGATTTCATGTTTTTGCGTCTAAACTTATGCCAGCATATGTTATACGCTTGGTGCGAACTTTCAATATTGTTTTCGACAATTTTTCGCTATTTTTTGCCAATTGCCAACACTCGTGCATAGAAGCTGAAATGTGAAAAAAATTTCTTATTATTCAATCTACGCGTACTAAGGCATATAGAATGAACTATCATGCTGAGTGTTAGCAGACAGTATTCTATGCGATATTTTATTCCAAGTGTGTGAATTAATGATTCTCGTCGAGTATGTGGCGTGTTTATTTAATGTGCGATGCTTAAAAGTAGTCGTGATTTGGCGGTTTAAATGAATTGAGGCGCGCTTTCGAAATACCGGATAACTGAGTGTAATTGAGTGTGTTTTTGAAATTTTTACAATTATTGTTGTTGTATTGGAAAGGAATTACGAAATATTGCAAAAATGAGCTGCGCCACGGGCACACTTAAATACGCGCTATTCTTGCTGAATATGCTGTGGGCGGTAAGTTGTTGCAATTGTGGGAGTATAAAAAATATTTAGATTTAGACTTAGACCCTGCAGTGATCMCAATATGAACTTTATGAGAGACGTTGAATGGCAATGATATCGTGTACTGAGAATAAATGTTTAAAAGCTTATGAGTTACAAATATACCTTACACTAAATTAGACCAAAGCCGATAAGCCATAGTTAAATTCAGCAGAATTTGAAGTTTTACATTTTTCGAAATAACTGCTTAATTTACAAAGATTTTTGTGACACAAAAAGCAGCAAGACCGAAATTATGATCTGAAATTTGATCGGTCAGCTATATGCTACAGTGCTTCGATCTGCATAGTTTGTTGAGATATTGTAGCGTTGCCTTGAACAATAACCTATGCCAGATTTCGTGAAGATTATCTTATCAAATAAAAGAGTATTCCATATAAGCACTTGATTTTGATGATGCTGTTTGTATGGAAACCATGTTCTATATATCCTTTAGTGGTCTGATATCGGTTCCGACAGATGAGCAGCTTTTTGGTGAGAAACGAACGTGTGTAATCAGCGCAAAATTTAAGATCGATATCTCAAAAACTGAGTTCACGCATATACAGACAGGCAAAGAGACCGACGGACATGACTTAATCGACTTATCTCGTCGCGCTAATTTACGTTATGATAAAAAAGTACTCGAAAATTGTGAATAAACATTTTATTATTCATCAATATTTATTTTGTCGTCTTTACAGTAATCCTTACTTATGCCAACGATTTTTTCAGTTCTCTATAGACTTTTCCAAACTCATAAACTTATGTCCCGTCGGCAGGTTTAATGTTCTTCATGAATGTGAGATCGGAACGTACAGGTAGGTCTTTACTTACGGTTCTCCTTTTGGAAAAAATTCAGCTTAATCAGGAAGAGTCAAGCAAGAACGTGTTTCATACCCAAAATATTCACCCAAATCATTTCAATCTCTCGCGAGAGATGTTGAGCTCTCTTGCCATCTTTCTAACACATGCTTGACAATATTCAGGCACCAAATCTTTCCCTTTTTTAATATTTTCATCAGCTGARGAGGTCGAAGGTTGTCTAGAACGAGGCATGTGTTCAATGATATCTTGATCGTCTTTGAACGAATTGTACCACTCGGAGGCTTGTGCYTTTCATAAAACTGAATCACTTCAAATCTTATTCAACATTTCGCACACGAATTTTGGTTAGAAATATAAAATTTGAGACAAAATCTTTGTTCGATATTTKTATCCATGTGTATGTATGTAGTACATATGCTATATWTTTTCTWCTGAATGTTAAAAACTTCATKKTAAACTTAATAWACCCTGTTCAGGGCATAAARTTAGAGAAACATTAAACATTGACTGACGATAAATAAAATAATATTAGGAGATATACACGGTTATGYACCTTGTTTTCAGTTTTCAATTTGCTWTGTTTGAAGSTCATACGCCAAAAAAATTAAATACRAATTCAATATGGACTCGKYTYACAATACCAACGTAAGGATCACAGTTCTATGTCGTTGAAATATATTGAAACAAGAGAGCTCACCAACTATATTGAAAACAAAGATGAGCGAAAGAACAGTCCTCCTGTTTTTTGATTCTCTGATAACTTGATAATGATAATTGAATCATGGGATTTCAATGACCTGAGGACCATCCGTTTATATGCTTTTGGAAGACTTTTAATATGGAAAAATAATAGTAATATGGAAGACCGTATGGTTCTCCTATRAAGATATCACAGCTAAGGTCGTACAATAGAAAGGCGTTAAAGTAAAATCAGAAGTCTGGATGAAATCTTTGAACAACAAATAATGTAAAAGGGAACTTCGGCTTCGAATAACTACATATGTATGTAGTTTAAGTTGAATATGTCTCAAGATTCAAATATTTCGTTAAGAGTTCTCAGAGCTGATAAACCAATATAACAATTCTGTAAAGAGTGTGTTTCGCTCCACTTATGGTCAACATACTCGGCCTACTGAGCGTACTATTCGCAACACCATAACACATTTTGAGATCCAACCAGGTCCAAGACGCAGTGAAGAAAATATAGTAACGTAGTTGGGAGTATAAATGAAGACCGTGGACAGCAAGATTGAAGTATGGAACTACAAAATTCAGCTTCGTCCGTTCTATTTCTGGCTCAAACAAGAAAAATTTTCGCATTTGGGACGAAGAGCAACCTGAAGAAATTCAAGAGCTGCCATTTCTTCAAAAATGATGCCGTTGAGAACGTAACCGCCAATGGCGACCGTTATCACGCCATGACAATCGACTATTTGATGCCAGAAATTGAAGSTCGTGAGCTCGGCGACATTTGGTTTGGTTGTTACTTGGACTAGTCAATTTAACTRCTATACATATTGTTGCTTTAATTTATGTATATTTTGTTTTATTGCATATGAAAGAAGTGAAAAGTTGTTTTAGCCGCTGCGTCGTATGAGTAACTTTGATRGCAACATTGAAACKGATAATAGCAAAAGAAACATAAGTAGATTTTCTAAATTTCTGGTAAATGAGTAGAATTAAATTTTTGGTGTGGGGAAGGAGAGATATTAGAACTCAACTAYGAATTTTGAAATGTAGTGCAAAAAACCATCACGAATTAAAGCTTTTTCAACGCTTATAGCAATTCGAAAAAATTACTTATAGTAGTTTCTACTAGTTTATAGGCGTAGGTACCGCTCAAGCGATTATAGCCGTTATAGCAATTTACGCATTTCTTTTATTTCTGACAAAAAAAACCCAGAACAAAAAACTGTTTAAAGTGTGCAGAAGCGTAAAATTTTAAACTGATGCATATCTAAACATGCAAGTTCAAAAAGCACTCGTAATTAAGGCCTACTTACTCATCCAAACCATGYTCATTATCTTCTGCTGAAAAAAATGAAATTAATAATTTTTTAYACGCACAATTTCCCTGTTGCTGAACATATTGCACATATGTATATATAGACATATATATACCTAACTGAAAAACACGATTATATCTAACTTACTAACGACCTACCACACACATTAACGCTTCGCACGATAGGGCCACGAAGACCTTGGTGCGTAATATGCCCACACCTATTGTAAACGTGGACTCGCAACGCAACCCGTTGTGGTGGTGTTAACTTACTTAGTTGAAGTGGAAATGATATCATCTGTATTAATTTAAACTAGCAAGTTTACCTATGCTTCTCCATAGACACTGGGCTAGGAAAGTCTTTTGGCTTCCTGCGCAGCTCACACAACGCAACCTCAAGGCGGTAAAGTTCACTGCGGCTTGCTGAGTGAATGAGCTTGCTCGTTTATGATGCTTTTGTGTTTTTATTTATCTATGCTTATGTGTACGCATTTGTCATGTTTTTTGCTTGTCAATATTTTATTTTAATTTTCCACGTCTTAATTTCTTTCCTTGTCCCAGCATATTGTTGTGGTTACTGCCAACATACTCACGCATAAAATATTCTCCACAGATTGCGTTGGTTACTTATGGCGTTAACTGGATTAACACCATTAGCTGTTGCTGTCATTTTGGCTCAAGCAGTGAAATATTACCTACCTAAAAATATGAGTATATCGTATTGTGTGTGCACAATAGGGWGGGGCAAAGATTTACTTTTTACAATTTTCTCCAAAAGACTCAGTAAAAAAAGGATTTACAAAAATTCAATACATATCCTATGGGTCTGATTTTCTTTTCACGACCTTAATTGACGTATAKTTTATCTTTTTTTCGATAGCAGATAAAAAAGTTTTCTATGAATTTATTTGGGTCGGTCAATTAGACCTTATAAAATTAAAATCTAAAATAGTTCACCAAAGTTTCTAAAAAAAACAAACATATATCTTTGAGTGCTAGGATGTTTGAATGAATCACTAAGTGATTTCAGCAGTTATTTGTGGATTACTATTGAGACAATGAAAAATATTAAGAGACATTTTCTGGTCAATTAAATATTATATATATAAATTTTTGTGAAATCAAAGTTTTATTATTAAAAACAATTTTTCAACAATTTTTCCTCATATAAAAAATTAAATATATTGTTAGAAATTTTCATTGATACAAACATATAGTATGTACACTATTAGCWAAGAAATTCTGAAATTTTTGGAAAAAAATATTTTAAATTCGGCCATTGCCACGCAATTTCTAGTGATACCTCGGATTAGGCGTTGGACGATGGAAAAAAACAGAAAATTCGGTTATTGGAAAAAAATCTTTCTTCGAAGTCTTTTAGAATTGCATCCCAAGTCTTAGGTAAAAATCGGTTGATTAGTTCTCGAGAAATCTTGGCAATCGACTTCCAAAACACAGTTTCGAGAAAAACGCGTATAAAGGCGGCGCACTTAGCCTAGCTAGCCTCGAAGGCACAATTTCTCAAGGMTGTATCTCCGAAACTATTACTCGGATCAACTCGAAAATTTAGGAAAATATTTTAGAGGAAAAATTAGGAAAAACCCGTAAACCCGTATAACCCTCTAAGCATAGTGGCAATCGGGGGTCATACATTATGTGATGTATGATGATGATTATGTGTGACCCCCTAATTCATTATGTGAAAGTGCTGTCTTTGCTTTTTGTTAGTATGGACTATAGTAAAAGAGTTGTTTTTAAATTTTGTATTGTATTTTGAATCATTGTTAACTTATAAGGTTAAGAAAAGACATTAGACACCTCAGTTTGAGTAGCAGAAATTCGCATTTAATGTTTTTCTTTTATACACATATTGAATTAATCATTGCGTGAATTCAAAGAATTCCAAGKAAAACGGATGATGTGACCTGTATCTATGAAGTTAAATCTTCAAGTAGACGTGAGTCATATACAAGTGTATAATTGACTGCTAGTTTGTATTGGCAATTTTTGCCATGAATAATCAATTCTATAAATCRAAGTTTAATCAAATTCGAAAAAGTGCAAAAGTAATTAAATCKGCAAGTGAAGAAATTATACCACTCATCGSACSTTTGTTTGTATATAYCGTCACCTAAAATGCAAAATAACGTAATATTACTTTTTATAAGTTTACAGGAAATACGATATACTAGAAACCACTCAYATTGAAACAAAATTTGAGTTTTGGTAATAAAACGGTTATATATTTTTTATGGTACGCTGTTTTGCATTTTAGGTGACGATATGTAKTATATCTATATAATAWATACACTTACTATGTATTTTGTTAAATACCTATGTGATATTCTAATACTCTTAGTGGAACATTTCCTTGTCAATACTTACAACTTTGATATTAATTTATGCATATTCCGTTTAAGCATACACAATGGAATTATCATAGTATTGTCWGTTTGCAACTACAGAAATTTCAATTATACGCCCCCAATAATAACATGCACTTTATATAAGTACACACAATGTAATTTATTGTATGCTCCTACACCCCTACATGGCWATTCATTAGCAATTCATTTTGGCGCACGTTCGAGTCAAATTGTTGATTTGTCGCCATTTTTTATACCCGAGCGCAACAGAGTTCGAAACAAGTTTATTATGGTAATGGTCATTTAACGGTTGTATGTAACGGCATAGGCAATCGAGAAATGCATAAAATTTATATGTGAAGTTATATATGGGAGTTATTGATTTTATTAGTTTTTTATTACGCACACCCTGCTCTTTGTCTATRCGAAAAATCATTTGTATAGGAATGCCGTTGCCAGTCACAGTTCATATACATACATATAATATATCAAATGCAACTAGATTTCTATTTTGCTAGTTACTTACATATATTTTATTATTTGTGTCAAACGAAGTTTGCGTGTTGGGTAATTTGGTAGATTTTTGAATAGGATKCGCTTTGCTCTGTTCTCCAACCTCCTTCAGTCGAGCTTAACAGGCTTTTTCTGTGCATTCTATTTAGTATAATTGGTATGATCCGATTTATTGATTTATTATCAGTAAGGTAATTTCATAATGTCGCTCTCTTAGAARCCTACTGGCAAGAAACAGGTATAGTTGATTTTCGCTAACTTCTCTCGATTCGCATTTTTCACCAGCAAAATTATTCGCTRGAACAGGAAGAGTTAGTTATAAGGGCGTAGCTCATAGTAGATTATTCTCAGCTAATCCCACCAAATGCATAKCAACACTTTTATGACCGACAACTCTAGCTTGGACATCATTCGGGCCCATTTACAACCTCTTTCGCTGAAGTTGTCGTAAGTAACCCAGTTATGTAATTCGTTGATTGAATTCGGTTTAYTTTTGCTCGAAGGATACTCGTGATATATGGGAGGAAAAGTGAGTCSTTTATTTTCTCTATAAACTCCTGTAGCTGCTAAAATGAATTCATAACTGTTATTTTGTATCGACAATATCACGTTCAAAGTTAGTAGCGCCATCTACCGTAAGAAATTCAGTTCTTGTCGGTGATTGACGTGTTTCATTTCATTTTAATAATAAATTTCAAATATTTAACAACCTCTTTAGTTCTATAGTCTTATGAGGCTCGACAGTTTCGAGAATTCGGTTACACTCGTTTATCACCAATCCATAGGCGTGTTTAATTTGGAAATTGCTATGCGTGCACATTACGTAAGAAACCTAATAWGTGTTAAGTAATTGTCGTGCGCAATCATATTAGTTGCGCCATTAGTTGCGCCATTAGTCAGCGCTGTGTCCAGCCTATGCGCCGGAACGCTTGCAAGCTCGATTGCTTGTCCATCTCAAATGTCCCCCAACAAAAACGTTTGTCATGTAACATGCCATTGTTTCAGTGAATTTGTGCACTGTGGCTTTTAAAATTAATTCACACACKCCTGTCACTCACCCTCTTACAGACCTTGTTTTCTCCAACAGTTGTAAACTTAGCAGCGCTAATATTTGCGTTATAAACTATAAATACTGTGATTGAATCAAGAATCTGTCGGCATCATTCAAGTCTTCAAGCTTCAATTATGTAAAAGTTGATTTCTCAAGTTACGGCAGCTTTATTGTTGCTTGACTTTAATTGTCGTTTAATTTGTAAGAAGCAGTTTTTTGCCGCTTGTGATTTGAACAAAGCTTAGCAATCAATTAGTATTGCTTAGTAAACAAAAGCTTATAATATRGTCACAAATTGTATACAATTTAACTATTAATTTTAATTTCGAAAGGTATCTACTCAAACGATGAATCAGATGGAATATAAGATAGTAATTAGATGTATAGAAGCTTAAAACCGTTATTGGCGCGTGGTAAATATCTGTTTGTTGAAGGTGGGCATTAATCTTTCAATACGTTYGATAGACCCTTATATGCAATGTTGAGGAGGGTGTGCACAATAGGTGGCGCGGATTGTAGGGTCTCCCTTATTGTGGATTAGACAGAGCACAATCGTCGGGCATGCCTTCGTTCTATTATTTTGAACAAAGAAGCTGATGCATCATCAGTTCTTCGCCGTCGTGTTTGAATAGCTCGGCCGGTAATCCATCTGCCCCGCCGCTTTGCTGKTCTTCAGATGGSTAATTGCTATTYGAACTTCTTTTTSGTCGGGCAATGGAATGTCTGYTCCATCGTYATCGTTTGGGGAATYGGGTTCACCATYTTCYGGTGTTATGCTTTCACTGCCATTCAGCARGCTGGAGAAGTCGCTCCATCAGTATGCTCTGAGTATTAGTCACTAGATAACCTCTGGAGAGCATGTTATTTAGCTTACTGACAAATTATTGTTTACAATAAATTCCAATGAAAAACGGGCTCAGATATTAAGGAGACCAAAGTATGTAATGMAAACAGAATTACCATATTGTTGGTATAATGAGGCATATAAGAAAGTCTTCCAGTAAGCCTTAGGATAGGCTTCAAATTCGACATAGAGTTGCTATATACCGAGAAAAGTGAACTTAAGGCACATAAAAGTAAAAAAAATTAAATGTTTCGTAAGACAATTTTTAATCTTCGGAGTTAATTAAAGTGTTTTATTGCGTTTTTTGAAGTCAGAAATTCGCAGTAAAAATTGAAGGAGGTTATATGAAAAATTATAATGTAAAGAGTGTTTTTTAGACGTGTGGTTTTCAGCACTTTAATCGAATTTTGTCTCTTTGATAGCTGTTACWTGAGTTAAATTTTTGGTTTGTCATTTTATATTATATTACAAAGACTTACTATGAAATGCTATTACCAAAACAATGGATCGGTTAGTTCAACTTTTAACGAAAATTCACGTTGAGTAAAGAATTTTTCGCGCGATTCACTCAACTTTTGGTCAACATAATCGGCATACTGAGCATACTATTCTAAGGCGCAGTATTCATTATTGAATTATATTCGACATAGTCAAGCAGCTGTAGTTTAAAGTGTTCACGAAGACCGTGGAGAGTCGATTCGATGCCGTTCGTAGCAATTTGGACARCCGTATTGAACGACTTGGCGTATTTTACGTCGAGATATTAAATTGAAAGCGAACAAAATACAKCGTACAAGAACTGAAGCCGCCCGACCTTCCCAAGTGACATCTCTTCGTTTATGGGCTCTTGAAAAGTTCCGACGTTGATGCAAATTTCACGTTTTGGGTCAGTCGATTGGTCACCGAGATCGTGTGATATAACACCGTTAGACTTTTTCCTGTGAAAATATGTAGAGTCTWAAGTGTATGCGGACAATCACGCTTCGATTAAAGCTTTGGGGCAAAATATCAAGAGTGTCATTCGCCAGTTAGCAATAGAAATGCTCGAATTAACCATCAAAAATTGGATTGAACGGATTGACGTAGCCAACATTTGAAAGAGAAAATCTTCGAGAAATAAATGCCAAAGAATGTTGTTTCGAATCATAATAATAAACTTCTCCATTAAATTTCTATGTTCTATCATTAAATAACTCAGAGGGGCTTAAGCGGAGTACTATACGATACCTGCTTTTCACTTTTATTCATTCTCAGAATTTCATCGAAAATATTTTAGGCAGCAAGATATCACAGTTGCGGGTTATAGTTTTCGATTGTGTGATCGTTTGGAATAATTTTTGTTTAAACCAGTTCATTATCGGTTTTGAAAACTTAAACGATTAATTTCTTGCTTAAAAATATCATGTATTTCAGTTTATTAAGGAATTCACCCACATTGTAGTTTCTAATGAGAAAGTGCCCAACTCTCACMAAGTTTTCGAATATAAGATTTTATTGAACCTCAATACATTGCATTATAACTCCAAAGTCTACAAAAATTTATCTTTTTTATTTCTTACAGATATTGGGTATCCTGGTGGTAGTTTTCGGTGGGCTTGGCTGGGGCGCTATGCCMCAGAGTTATGCCATCGGCTTCATTACTATGGGTGGTGTCATCTTATTCATATCATTCTTCGGCTGCTTCGGCACAATGCGCGAATCGGCGCGCCTTTTGTGGACGGTAACAAAATTAATATTTATTAATTTTTTGTTACCACTAATTTTATATATTTATAAAGTATGGCATCTGCACCTTCGTGCTGATCATTGTAATAGTAGCGTTCATTTGTTTGAGCACGCGCGATGTTTTCAAGCGCTACGCTATGGAAGGCGTAGAGGAGCAATGGCGTCAGGAGCTGTTTCAACCGGGTTCCATGGACACAGTGCAGTCAGTGGTATGTAACATAACAGTGATTGCATTCAGCATACATAAATATATCTATTTCATATAATTATTTTTGTTAAAGTATGCCTGCTGCGGCCTCAACTCTGCTGAGGATTACATACGCATTGCACGCGCCCCACCCGCCAGTTGCTGCAAGGAATCGAATTGCATAAATCCCTTGAATCTCTACCTCACAGGTTGTTTGCCTAAGGTTGAAGAAGCTTTCGCCGATGAGGCCACCGTTACGGCGTACCATCAGTATGGCTTGTTGGCCTTTGGTGTGAGTATAATGCAGCTTCCATGTCAAGTATTTTTAACTACTTTTCTTTGCATATTCAAATTTATTTGCAGTGCCTCATTCTGCTTTTGACGATCCTACTGGCAATACATTATCAGAATCGCAAACGGCGTTTTAGTTACTAAGCTTTTGTTTAGAAGTTGTGAAAGCTTAAAAGCATTTGAGTCTCACTTGTGTAGCTTTTATTGAAATGTGAAACGATTTTATTACATTTAAATTTATATTAGATATTTGCATTTAATATTAATAACTGTTTAGCTTTCAATGAATGCTTTTATGCAATGTCACATGTACCTCCAAGCCAATCGAATAAATAACTCTAATATAACTATTGTACAGTGTTAGATATAATACATATATTTATTTATTTGAAACCCAGTGCATTTCACATTTTAATTAATTTTTCGAAAATATTTTTTGTAATTTAATTTTATTGTAATTTTAGTGTATAGAAAAATAAAAAAGTTGAAAAAAAGCTCTTTTGTATTTAAACTAATACTTTCTAAAGGGTATTATCCAGAGCTAGAAACCCCTACAAAAACGGAAGATGTTGAGTTCAACCACTCAGAAAACACTTCTATCGTTATGAGGTTTGAATCAAATGGTTCAGTTCTTTATACTAAAAAACCCATATGCAAATATCTACATTAGAGCGCGAATCATTCTGAACAACTTTGTATAAGAGACAATGAGTCTAAAACCCGGTTTCGAGCCTGCGATTTTTCAGGTGAAGTTTAAAAACATTAATAATCGGTTGTATGTATGGGCCGAGTCTAGCGTGTACTTCACAATACATGTACGTATTAAATTTCATTCAGCTATATCTAAAAAACCGACGAACAAAATTTTATGGCCCATAAAATACTATGTTTCTTTACTGCGTCTTTCATTTTGCTCTGAATTTTATCAATTTCCTTTACAAAATCAAGAATTTTCAATTGGGATCCGAACATTTTTTGAGTGGTTTTCGGTTTGTTTTTTGCATTTTAAATAATAATGGTTTGGATCGGGGTTCGGTTCGAAGTCCATAAAAAGGAGGCAGTTCAGTTTAAAACCTGTTTTGGTTGAAAACCTGTATTTTCACATTCTCTTTTAAAAAGTTTTCGAAAATTTACTTTCTTCTTTCCATGTCTGCTGGTTTGTGGGTTTCTTTGTTCTTTTTGTTTAAATTAAATTTTATCTGATATTTAAATAGTATTACGTACTGTAAGAACGCTCTCGTTGAAAGAATGATTTCAAAATCGCGTATTAAATTTTTTAAATGCTATGTAAAAGGCAAGGAGAGGATGGCACCATGTGTAGAAGTTCACACAATTAAGGAAAGTTTTCTGAGCGCTACTCACTTGGGAGTGGCCAGCAACAATTCTTATACATAAGTATCCTCTGGGTACCCAGAAAACATCCGTTTGAATGCGAATAATTAAGAAAAAGAAGAAAAGGTAAATGGATCATATATACTGTACTAGTATGTACATATATGTAGAGTATTCTCTTTAACTCCAGTTGGAGCGAAGCCCTACGCCTACCTTTGAGCATTGTTATTATTGTCACGATAAGTAAGAGCAAAGATTCTGCGTGCGATGCTGACGGTAGCTACTGGCAGGGCTCCCAAATCAGTAAGGTGGAAGGTTAGTACCGAAGCTAAAACAATCCACAGTCCTTTTGCTATGGAGGACATGTCTTCACATGATGGTGACGAATGCTACCCCAACAAATTAAGAAACCTGAGCTATTCATCCATCTTTCTGATGATACTCGATTACTGAAACCAAAAGATCATAGTTAAATAATATGCTTTAGCTAAGCGAAGTTTTATTCCATAAAAGTTATGGTAATCAAGGGGTTAGGTACACATTCAACTTGCGAATTCTTTATACCTTGTATATATTTCCAACCCTCATGAAGTTAAATGAAGTCGTCTGATTCTAAATGTTAATACATTTGTTTCAAACGATTTTATTACCGTTTGCGGAACCAAGTTCTCAGTATTTTTATAAATTATTTAAATAAAAACATATTAATAAGAAATGAGTATTACACTTCAATTAAAAAGGTATTTATTATTTCTGCGATTTATAAATACTATATTCTTAGGGTCCTGTGAGGGTTATCAAACAACAGTCAAACGAACCGCATAGGTGCTTCGGTGAAAACACAAATATTAAGTATTTATTTTACGATGTTTTTAATTTAAAGAATACACTGATAAATTTTCGAAATAAAAATAATCTGCAAACAACATTCATCAAAAATGATAAGGAAGTTGAAGTCATCTCTCTGTATTCAATGCGAATAATTCCGTTATACATTGTGGCAAAAAAGTACCCGAATTTAATTATTTATCATTATTTATCCTGTCACTTTCATAGTAATCCCGTCTAATACACTTACATATGCCAAGTATTTTTCCAGTTCTCGTAACCCTTTTCATAAGTATGTACATTTCGGTATGGTCTTCAGTCTTTCAGCGAATTTTGTTTATCTCTTCGGTTAACAGTCAGTCAGGTGAACAAGAAAAAAATCATATGGAGCTAAATCTGGTGAATACGGTGCTTAATCTATGACCTTCATTGTGGTTWTGGCTTTAAATTCGAGCAAGAACGCGTATCATACCCAAAATATCCACCAAAATCATTCGAACGGACCCGCGAATGATTCAAGCTCTCTTGCTATCTCTCTGACACTTGAATGACGATTTTCAAGCACCATAGCCTTCACTTTTTAATAGTTTAATCAGTTAATCAGTTGAAGAGGTCGAAGGTTGCCCGGAACAGGTTGCCCAGAACGAGGCTTATTTTCAACGATCTCTCGACTGTCTTTGAAGGTTTTGTACCACTTGTTTTGTTAAAACTGTTAAAACTTAATCACCGTAAGGTTTTTCCAACATTCGCAAAATATTTTTGAAATATGATTTACCCCTGGAATTTAATTACAATTTCCGGGTGCTTTTTCATTCCAAACTAAATTATCACATGTGTGTGTACAATGTACTTTTATATGAAAGAAATATGAACATCGCGTTCTGTCTAGGAATTTCAGTTGCAACATTACATGTGTTGACTAATTACATCTCTTGCAGAGATAAGAGTCGCCAACGCTGTAAAATATCTCTGTGTTGACAATTTCAACATTTACGGTTTATTTAATTTGTGTAACATTAGGTACATAGTGATAAAATGTGATAATTTCGGGCGATGATTTAATGAAGGTCATTTGATTAACTTCTAGGCCATAATAGACCAATACTGCAGTTTGAATCAGCAGAATAACAAAAGCAGTTTAATAAGTCTATCTTTTTTTCGCCTAACTGCTGTTTAATCACCATTGTAATGCTCAATTAATATCTACTCGCTACGATGACTTTGTTAATAACGCCTTAGTGGAGGCGATATCTGCATTTCCATACACCCCAGATCACTCTAATTTTTTCCAAAGAACAGTTATGGGACTGCACAATACTGAGATCTTCTAACAATGGTTACATGAAGACTACGGTCTCAATATAACTTTAAATTCATTCACGCACCTAATTGAGCATATGAAGACACTCTTCTAGATCTTTGCTTTAGTAATTTATTTTCCTTAGGTCTTATAACTTTTTTCTAAAAGCTGCATCTGTACTCACACCACTATATCAGAATATCTAAATAATCACTTTGAACCTCAACCGCTTATGGACATCAATCTGTGTATCAATAGTTCTATGACATACTAGTTTTTTTAATGATTTTTCAGAAAATTTAACATGTTTTATATTATATTTCCTGAAAATGTAAACAGTTCCTTAGAGGATATATTCAGTATAATTAAAAAGTTTCTCAAAAAACTGAAGATAAGCTTTTGTATTTCGTTATTTTTGTTATTTAGTTGTATAAGTATTATATTATAATCAGATAGCCTAGCCATTTTAATGTAGAACCTCAAATTTAAATATTAATTAGGAACGCACTATACATATATAAAAATAAATCGATTCATCATAACTATTGTAATTGTTTGATATCATCAAAAAGTAGTGGAACGATAATAAATTACTCACATTCAAGACAAAACATTTTCGTATATTTACTAATTATTTGGTGATATCAGCAAACCAATAAAAAAAGTCTTCTTCAAATGGAATTTTGGAGATAACAAGGTATTTATACTTTGTGCTAGCGGCAAAACCAAGAAAAATATTATACGAAAATGAGTAATATTAACCGAATCATTAGAATTGGAAAAGATCTCAATAAAGTGCTCGAAGGAATTTAGTTATTAATATAATATAAGAATAATTGTAAGGCTATAAGTGGATGTACCATTTCATCAAATCTGACCTGCACTGACTAAAAAATGATAGTTTTCTCAAGTCATTACTATTTTTACTACTCATTTTTTTTTTATTAGTTATTTATTAACATAAAATAATATAGTGACCATATCCATTATTTCAATCCCGTTAGCAATATGGAAGCAAAAATATATCAATTGAGAATAATAATTCTTCTGAAAAGTTGAAAAAAAAAATTGTGTTATTTTTCTTAACTGTTTCCAATTTTTAAAAAATAGTAAAATTTGAAATTTGGGTATATGGATAGTTTCAGCCTTAAGATGTCTATAAAGAAGACTTTTTTTAAGTTCTAGTAAATCGGTTCAGTGGAACCGAKGGTATATTTTTGAAAAAGAAAACGCTTTTAAAGTTTAGCAAACTTGCCAGTTTGGATCCTGGGTGAGCAAAATAGGTACATATACATACATATGTATGTATCTTCGAAAATAATTTGAATTTTGAAAAATTCTCTTATTTTTTTAAATAGATAAACTTTGAAAGTATATAAAAAATCTATTTGTTTTATTACGCCCCTAATACAAACCTTCAATATGGCTTTCATAATAGGCCTCTGAGACAATATAAAAATGCCAAAGCTTAATCTAATTTTTTTATTTACTTGTTATAAGCCTCGACAGAGATGGTCTGACAGTGACTTCATATAAATTTGATTTTTTCGGTTCCCGTTCATTTTTGGAGCTAAAATTGTTGGACAGTTTCAACGWCATATTCGTAAACACATGMCTCGTAACGAGTAATGATGCATTACATGAATGCAGGGCCCTCGTGTACGTTGTCAAGCATAACTGTTGCGATTTTGCARAAGATTCAGGTCTCTTGGTAGGAGTTTAGCATTGATACGAGTTATATCCGAAATATTAACTAAATGTGTTGAGCCGATTCATAAGAAATATTCAGATTCTCTACTACTTATCTCTCTGATGCCAACACGGTGATTTTCAAGCACTGTTTTTTAACTTTTTCAAATCTGTTGTCTATTAATCAATACAATTCGTATGAGCCAAGTTTTCGATGACTTCACACCTCATACCCATTCAAATGCATATATTCGTGAC